CTGACGGCGGTGGCAGTGGCCAGCGTGCACAACTACACTGTGGTGTTCCTGGGCACGGCCAGCGGAGGACTCCTGAAGGCAAGTGGGGCCAGGGGGCAGGGATGGGGGGTGGGGGGGCATCCCCTCCCACACCTTTGCTCTGCTCTGCACAGCGTCTGTCGTTGGGTTTGGTCAGCACCTGCTGTCGTTTGGCAACGAAGAAGTAATTGAGCGCTGCCGTTAATCTTGCAGTGATGTGTGCTGCCCGGCGGCTGTTAATTACTGTTCAGGGTGACCACGGGTGTTCTTGATGAACCCTGTGCTGGAAGCGTTGTTGCGCAGCATTTAATTATTAACAGCTCTTCTAATAAATTCACCCACTGAGGAGGTGGCTTTTGAAGGCTCCACGTAGACAGGGGAACCACTGAAATGCTCCATCACAGCCAGGTCCCAAGCAGGTGTGAATCCACACATCCAATGGAGTAGCTGTTTTAAACGCTGCACCAAAGGCGGCGCAGGGCGACGCAGTGCCCTGGCTCTGGAGCCAAGGTGCAAGGCCAAGGTTTCAGTAACCTGATGTTTGCCAAAGGAAGTTTTGATTCCAGCAGCCACACCAGTTTGGTGAGCTCCCAGCATCGAAAGTCCACAGAGGAGAGGGGAGGAAAGCCCTGGGGCAGAGACATGGCTGATCCCTGCTGTGTCTCAGCCTGGAACGCGTGGTGCGTAATGTGCAATATTGGATCAAAATGCCTGGAGAGAAGAAAACCGATCCCATCTCTTCCCTTGCGTCCAAGTGCTCCTGGCAGAGACGTAGGAGCAATCACAGAGAAACTCACGCTTTGATTTGTGCCCGCAGGGACAGGTAATTCACGGGGGTGGGGGAGCCCCGGCAGTGCCACACGCAGCGCAGCCACATTCACACAGCACCGACAGCTCTGCCTCCATCGCCAGCTCAGAAAGCAGCCTTATCTGCAGAGCCTCCATTAGGGAGAGGCTCCTGGCCACCCTTCGCTGGGGTAATTTGCTCAGATAGCTCTAATCTAATTCTGCAACACAGCTGCACCACCAGAAGCCCTTTTACCTTCGGGGCTCCTTGTTATTTGGCACGGGATACAAGATCCTTTACGGGAGTTATCATTCAGATTTGCTGCCTGAGAAAAGACAGCAAAGGGGCAGGAATGGCGCTTGGCCGGCTCCTGCCAGCAGCAATTATGGCTGCCAGGGGTCAGTATGGGGAATTAATCAGATGGGCTGCAGACGGTCACTTCGTTAGGGCCGTTACCAGCGCCATTAAAGGACCACCAGCACTTGGGGAGCATGGCCAGGGCAAGGTGCAGGGTGCGACACCTGCGAAGGGGACAGGATGTGCAGGGTCTGTTCTGGAGAGCCCCCATGTCCAAGCCTGGACAAGGTGCTGCGTGGGAGTCACCCAGGACCCCAGCCCCTCCTGCTCTCACCGGTGCAGCTCCTGTTCCCCCGCACGCCCCAGCCAGGGGAACGGTGGTCTCTGCCTCTCTGGGGAATGGTGGTCTCTGCCTCTCTGCTCCGCTGTGGGGGGCTCAGGGGCACACACAGGGAAACGGGGTGAACGACTCTGAGGCAGAGGGGCACAAGGATGGTGCCTCAAACAGCCGATGCAGAGCAGATCTCAGCACGATGGGAGAGGGCATGGTCACACAGCTGAATGGTGGATGTCAGGACTCAGTTTGTGGGCGCCTTGGGTGATCCCAGGCGAATTATTGAGCTCCTGCATGGCCAGGGATAATGGCAGTTCCCTTCTTTTCCTGCATAGCAGCACTGCCTGTGTACAGTTCTTAGCGGAGGGAAGCCTCTGCTTTGAGCGTGTGCTATCTTACTAGGACATGTCAGTGCTGCTCGAGTGTAAGAATTAATTAATCCTATGTTAATTAATTAATCCAGACTTTAGAGAGCAAAGGCACGCTTGGTCCTTACTATTATTGCCTCCCCTGCCTGGTGAGGAGGTAGGAATTTTCCTCACTCCGTTTCTGCTTTAAGCAGAAAAGTGACTGTCACACAAAATTGTGTAGCCCTATTGTTATTTCCTCTCAGCAACGCCACATTTAATTTGCAGAGTTTTCAAGTCAAATGCCAAGGCATTCAGGGATCTGAGAGGCAGTCTGATGCTTCGCAGCCTCTTCCATCACTGCCAGTGCTTCGGCTGGTGATTCATGAGGCAAGGTGGGCTTTGGCTCTTGCGGCAGCTGCCATGGTCTTCTGCAGTTAGTGGGGATAAAAGCTGCTTTTGGCTGGGAATGACAACACTTATTTTTCAAATGAGCAGGGAAGGCCATGCTGTACAGCCCCTGCGCTGGCTTCCACTCGTTTTCATTAAGCTGTGGAAATGCGATGTTGTCTGTAACAGCAATTTACATCTGCGTGCGATGAGGGCTGGTGCCACTCACCTTGGGGTGAAGCAGGAGTGACATTGCCATGGCTGGAAACCGCCATGCAGGGGTAGAGCCTCTGACAAGAAGTTTCACAGCAGCCTCTCAACAGAGGGGCCGAGGGCTGCGAGGGTTCACCACTGAGCAGGGCTCTGGCCATGGCCTGGGCTTCCTGCACCACTCAGTGCCTTCCCTGGAGCGCAGAGCTGGCTTTTCAGTAAAAACAGAGATTTACAGTGCTTGAAGATGTGGAACAGCGTGAGATACCACTTTGATTCTTGTTTATAACCGAGGAAAAATAATCTTTTCCCCATAGTGTTTGAAAAATGGTCTCAATGAGTGGCTTCTTCTCCCTGCAGATTAACCTGGACAGCTCCATGAAGGTTATTAGCAGGAGGTCCATATCGGTGGCCTATGGAGAGCCTGTGCACCCCATCATGCAGTTTGACCCCTCTGATCCCACCTACCTCTACCTGATGACCTCCTATCAGGTGAGATCTTCACCATGGTAGTTCTTTCAGCACTGTGCATTTGACTTAGCATTCAGCACAAAGCTGGGAGCAGGAGGGGAAAACAGAATTTGCTTTAACATTAATGGGCAGAGCCAAGGAGTTCAGAGCTTTGGCTGGGGTGTAAGAGAGCTTTCGGGGGCTACCCCTGCCTGTCCATTCTCCTGGGTGGAGAGGGGCTCACGTCAAGCAGAACGGCTTTTCGGGCTTTGTGTGGCAGGGTAAAAGGGAGAGTGAAAGATACCAAAACTGATCCTGCTTACGGGAGTGTAGAAATTAGCACAGGTTGCTCTTGTAGAGAAATCTTAAAATCAGGGTACACGGTCGTTAAGGAGGCTTTTGGGAGATCCTGCAGACAAGAAGTCTGTCGGAGGTTGTCCTTGGGGGGTTTCTGGTGGGCCTGGTGCAGGAGGGCTGCGGGAGTGGGGCTCTGTGGGGTGGGAACAGACAGGCTCGTCTCCCCATGTGAGCGGAGGAGGGAGACGCCAGCCCAGTGCTCCAGGCGCTGGTGTTTTGTCCTGAATTATGTTTTAATCTGTCAAAACAGATGCACAACCACAAATGCTGTGTGTCGCATTCGTGTTTTCCGAGCCCTGATTCCCCGCAGATCAGTCGCTATTGTTTCACAGAGCCCTCCCGGGAGACCTCTTTAGCTGATGTTCCCGACTGCCCCATCTCAGCTCCTGGGCTGGGCTGTGCATCGTGCTTGGCGTGATAACACACCCAGAGATGCTCTCCTCCATCTCTTTCTTTTCCCATAAAACAGATTATGTTTCCTTGGTGGAAGCAGCACCCTGGGAAAGTCCCCAGGGGCTGGATGGAGCTGGGGGTGCTGAACACTGCAGGGTTTGGGAGCAGCGATGTGCTGTGGGGTCAGGCCATGGGGCCCCTGGCCTGGGGTGCACTCACCTGGTGGGAGCTCAGGGCTCTCTGTGCCTCACCGGCAGTCCCTGCTGGTCCAAACACTCAGTTTTCCTTGCCAAATGTTTAGAAATTACAGGAGGAAAAAGTAGAAACCGACATGTGCTTTCCTCTGACTGCTCCTGCCGCGCAGGTCCCCAGAGGTTGTTTGATTTCTTTACAAATTAAGGTTTCCAGAGTGGTTTTGCTTTCTGCTCGTTTCATAAGCAATCGGAGAGCATTCAGCTCTATCTGGCCAGGCGCTTTCTGCAGGTCTGAGCCAGAGCTTTTCACAGGGAGGAACGAGCTGTGTATCACGTTTGAAAGGTGCAGTGCTGCTCTCCACAGCCCCACCATCACACGTCTATTGCCATGGAGCTGGCTGAAAAGGAGCAGTGCGGCTCAGCGCTGCCGTGCACCCCATGGGGTTGACTTTGCTGGCACCAGCAGCCCTATCCCTTGGGCGACCTGCACTGTTCCTGGTGCTGGTCGTGCACAGAGCCCCCGCCTGTGAGTGGTGTGGGGTGCAGGGTGACAGGGCCAGGGTCTGTTCCCCATTGCCCGTTCTGTGAGGTGTGGTCCATGCAAAGGGGTGCCACAGCCACGGGTGCCACAGCCCCGGGTGGCGGTGTCCCATCACCAGCTATGCGTGGCCGTGCCGGTGCATCCCGGTGAGGCCAGGTGTCTCTGTGTCGGTGTAGCACTTTGAGGTGGTTGTGCTGTTGTCGTGCAGATGACGCGGGTGAAGGTGGCTGCCTGTGACCAGTATCTGACGTGCACGGAGTGCCTGACTGCCGCCGACGCCTACTGTGGGTGGTGCACCATGGAGACCAGGTAGGACTGGACTGGCTGTGTCCCAGCGCGCCTTGGCGTGGGCTCTGGCCCCCTGGGCAGGGGTTTCTGGTGCCTTCTGTACTTCACACAGTCACATTTCTGCTAGTCTTTGTCCATTCCTTATGAAATGCGTGCTTTTAAAAATGCATCTGGTCTCAAATGGCTGGGATGCTCTCAGAGCCAGGATTTCAAGCAACCATGGGACTGAGACAGCCAACACCCTGATAAAGACGGACATTTGCCCTTGAAATTATAATTTATGAGTAGGAGACAATCAACGTTCAGAAAGGGATTTACAAAATTAGATTCTGTGTTTACGAACCAAAGAAGTTGGGCAAAATGTCGCCTTCTCCTTCTCGGTTCTGGGTTCAGCCCGGCTTCTGCTCACCGGGATCCGGGATCATGCGTGCTTTTAAAAATGCATCTGGTCTCAAATGGCTGGAATGCTCTCAGAGCCAGGATTTCAACCAACCATGGGACTGAGACAGCCAGCACCCTGATAAAGACAGACATTTGCCCTTGGAATTATAATTTTTGAGTAGGAGACAACATTCAGAAAGGGATTTACAAAATTAGATTCTGTGTTTACGAACCAAAGAAGTTGGGCAAAATGTCGCCTTCTCCTTCTCGGTTCTGGGTTCAGCCCGGCTCCTGCTCACCGGGATCCGGGATCCTGGTGCTGCACTGGTGCTGGTGGGCGTGCGCTCACTGTGGCACCGCCACGCTCAAAATATAGCAGCAATGCTTTAGGCTTGGCTGTATGGATGGGGAAAAGATGTGGGCACAGGGTTTTCTCAGGATCTTCCCTCGCGAGGAAGCTGACATTTTTATGACCCGTTTTAAAAATAATCATGTTCCCCTGTCGCTGCAGGTGTTCCCTGCAGCACGAGTGCACAAACTTCACGGAGGCCAACTTCTGGGCCAGCACAAGCGAAGGCGTGCAGCAGTGCCCGGCCATGACCATCCTGGAGCCCGAGATCAATATTGACAAGGAGAACCCGGTGCGTTTGGTGGGGCTACCGAGTTAATCAGTGCCGTGTCCCATTGAGTCATTACCTGCCCTCGGGGCTGATCAGTGTCCATACCCCTGGCGCTGTGGCACAGCTCCACATGGCTCTGCTGTGGGCAGCGGGTGCTGAGCTTCGGGAGGAACCGGGCTTATGAGGCTGCTGCACTGAACGCATGGGAGAGATTGGCAAAATTTCAAAATGCAAATCAGCTGCAGACAGCTAAATCAGCTCATTTTCTGGTTTTGTATTGTTACTATTTTAAACAATATTTTAGTGATATTTTAAATGTTTTTGGGAAGTATTTTTCACTTGAAGACAAACCCTCTCCCACTGCCAAAGATCTCTGTGCCAAAGCTCTTGTCCCACACCGGTGTGGGGAAATCACTTGTGAACAGGCGGCAGCCGGGGCAGAGCACAGGCAGAGCTGGGCAGGGGTCCCACGGGACCCGGCTCCATGTCTGCACCTCTGTTCCCTCCCATGGAGCCCTGGGCTGGGGTCTGGGGACAGCTGCAGCTGCCGGGCATCACAGTGACAGGGCTCTGGCTGCTGAAGCAGGGGTTTCTGTGCGAGTGGCTTTTGGGGTTCAAAGTGCATAAAGTGAAAGAAAACGGCTCTTTGTGGTCTTACTTTTGAGGCGCCAGCCTATGAAAATCTTGTAAAACATGGACAAATTCTAAATTCTGTCGTAATAACTGATTTATTTTTTGTTCCAAATGTAGGCCCTGATAATACAAATAAACGGGACTATCCCAAACCTGAATGGGACAAATATTTCCTGTGACTATGGAAATAATATCCATACGGTAGCCAGAGTTGCTGGAGATTATGTGAACCAGTTCATTTACTGCAGTTTACTCCCCCGTGAGAAATACCCAACGTTTCCAGATGACCAAGGTATGTAGAGGAAAACAAGCTTGGTTCATTCTAACCACTTCTGTGGACATAATTTTTCATAGGCTTTTTTTTCCCGCTTCCAATTGTGTGTGCAGATAATGCATACAGGGAGAAAAGACCCAAGCTGCTACTGTTTTATAGGGCATATGACTTTAAAGCGTGGGAGTTTCACCATCTTAACATGCATTGACAGTACTTCAAATCTATCAATTTTTGTCTTAAACGTCAGATTTTAAAAGCCAGTTCATGTACTTATTTTGTGAAGATTTATCTGGTTAGAGCTTCTGGTTTAGTTTTAATAAGTACTGAAAAAAAAAGTTTTATCCCTTGGGAAATAATGCTGCTACTTGTATTGATATTTTCAGTTGCTTTTGTTTGATTTCCTTCCGAACATGCACTACCTTTCAGGAGAAGTTCTGGAGGAAGAGCAAGCGCGTACCTAAGGGCAGCTCAGAAACTCCTGATCCCCTTTATGCAATTAAAAGCCAGACCGAGGTCCCCCCTGTTTTCAGGTGGTCCCAAGCGAGGTGCCCACCCTGAGGCCCCGTGGGGCTGCATTCAGGAGGTGACGGGCATCTGCAGGTTGGAGCCACCTGACGTGGCGATGGAGACGGCCCCGTTTCATGGCTCCTTGGGACAAGGTCAATGCTTCCTTCCAGGCTTGGGCGCTGTTAAATCTCCATCTCTCAAGCCTGGGGTGAATGCGCTATTGAAGATGGAGGAGAATTAACCAGTCCTTTTGACAAATCCAACTTTTCATAGGCAACTTTATAAAGCTGCGTTGTTTTTCCGCCCTAGCTGCCCAAAGAATGGGAGATCGTTAACTGCTCTGTATTGTTGGTTTCGGCAATGTCCAAATGAATTTCTGGAATCCAACGCGCTGATTTATTGTACATATTCTGAAAGAGGCATTGTCTCTTGTCCCTGGTGCTTATATGGCAAAATCGCAAAGAAAAAAAGATTAAGCAATTTTGGGGGAGGGGGAGTCAGCGTAGCCTGTTAAGTAGCCAAAAAAGGGTTTTCCACTCTCCTCTGTGGGTTTGTTGTCATGGGGAAAGTGAGCGGGGTTTTAAAACATGATACCTAACATGTTTTAATTACCACATTTTTTTAAAATACCATTTAGCACCAACTGTAAGCGAAGACAATAATTAACTCTGCTAATTAACACTTGCACAACACGCTGGAATTTTCTGCTGAAAGTCGCAGTGTTCTTTTCTGGTGAGGGTGATGCAAAGCGTTGATTTAAGAGGGAAGAGCTGAAAGTCAGAGGGCAAGAGATGAATGGTCCAAGCTCTGAAATGCAGCTCGGAGGAAGCCCTAGAGAAAACAAATCAGATTTAGCCTTGTTTTCCCGAGGGTCTGTCTTGCCTCCTAAGCGAGAGCCTCTTGCAACCCAATCTTCTTGGCTTGGTTCTCTCAGACCACGTGGTCGTCGAAGCTGCTCTCCGGGTCAACAGCAAAAACATCATCCGGGCCAATTTCACCATCTACGATTGCAAAAGAACGGGGAACATTTACCCGAAGAGCGCGTGAGTGTGCGGTGGTGGCCGGGCGCGGGTGGCAGGGGGTGACCCCGGGAGGATGACGCATGCCATCGGACGAGGGTCCTGGTGCGGCGTTGGTGGGGCCTTCTTGATAGGCAGTGGCTCGGGGCCTGGGCAGGATTTGGCAGGGGGGAGCGACTGCGCTGCCAGGGATTCACAAAGGAGGGTCCTCGCAGCGTCTCCAGCCATCTGGACGTGTTGGGTGTTTTAAACGTGAATAATATTTTTATATAAAGCCTGTTCTGTTAACCCTTAGGCAACAGAGCTTGCCTCCCCAGCGATCCCTCCTCCCTGCACAAGCTGTGGGGGCCACGTTTTGTTGGGCACAAGCCTGCTTGGCTCCCTGGGGAGACAGGCAGTGGGGAAGGAGCATTTTGGGGGAAAGAGCATTTTGGGCAAAAAGAGTGTTTTTCATGAAGCAAGGGAGGAGCTGGAGCCAGTGGCTCCCAGTCTGCCAAGGCTTGGGGCCAGGCATGGTGATGCCACGGAGCTGCCTTGGAGCAGCATTGGGGATGATGAGGATGATGGGTTCAGCCATGTCCCCATCCCAGCGCCTGCCATGAAGGGGTTTTTCTGGGCCTCAGAAAACTCTGGGTTTTTCTGGGCCTCAGACTGAACGCAGTGTGAGGATGGATCTCAGGGCTGAGGTGTGGCTCCCCTGAGCAGCCCAAATTCCACTTTTCTCAGCGTGCCCTTGCTGTTGCAGGTGCACCAGCTGCCTCTCAACCAGGTGGCAGTGTCACTGGTGTCCCTCCACCTACACCTGTGTCTCCAACCACTCGCAGTGTGCCGATGCGCTGCAGATGAAGGTAAGGACCCTCAGATTTCCCTGCTGCCCGCCCTCATTGCGATGCTGTAGCTGTCGTTTTCCATCTTCTGGGGACGGAGCCAAAGGCCTGGGTTGGCAGTGCTGCTCCGTGGGTGAGGGGTGGCTTCGGGGTATTCTCTGCATCCTGGGATGCCAGGGTTTGGGCAATACCATAAACATAGCAGTGCTTTACAATTCATGTAGCTTTGACCGGGCTGTTGCGGTATGTTAATAATTTGCTGGAGCACCACTGGTGGTGCTCGTCTAAAGGAGAAAATCGCCCCTTTCCAAATTATAGCTTTAATAACCCAGAGGCTCAGCGTGTTCCTGCTTCTGAAATTTAAATTGAAGTTAATTTAAATAAAATTGGCTTTTTAGCAATCAATCTGCCGTAGAATCAAGCCAAGCTCTTACACTGTAAATTGAATATCCCTTTGGCACCGGTACTCTGCTCTCATCTTGGCCCCTCCAGCCGTTCGTTCCCCATGCTTCTTGCAGCAAAGCTGGGCCCCGTGTCAGAGCCGCCCGTCCCACCCACACCCCCTGGCTCGACCTTGAGATCGGGCCTGGCCTCCACTCCCCTCTCGTGAGGAGAAGGTGGGCAGCTGCAGGAGCAGGGGACAGGAGGGACATGGGGCAGTGTGCTGGGCTGCGGGGCACGGGGGCCACACGGCACAGGGGGCTGCAAGCCACAGATGGCACTGTCAGCCCTGCCAGATGGCAGGGCTGCATGGGCGGCTGGGGACTGCCGCGGATGGGTCCTGCATGGATGCGTTTTCGTCATGGCTGGTACACGGTGTGTTCCTCATTAAATGGAGAGGAGGAGCTTGGGCTGCGAAGGGATTTCTGGAGAAGGTGCCACGTTACTGGATTGACTTTTTCCTTGATGAGGTGCTGCATGGCCTGCAGCTCAGCCATGGGGGGACCACAGTGTGCCAGCACCTCACACTCATGCCTGTCATCACGGAGAATAGCGGCTCTATTACAAAATTAAGGTCGTGGATGTGGGTATCAAGGAACGCCACCTGCATGTTAGGGAGCTGCACCCAGTCTTCCCACCCTGCTCCCGTTGCCTCGAGCAATGGTGAGACCCAGGGTTACCCTTGGCAGGGATGACTGTGCCAGTCCTTCCTTAAGGCTAGTGGTGCCTGTCCTTAAGGCTAATGGTGCCTGTACTTCCATAGAGATCACCACGACTGTCCTGGCTTCCTCACCTCTGATCTCCTCCTCCAGAGGTGCAGTTTGGCTGGGTGCCACACCGGGTTTGGGCACACTTGTGTTTTATGTCTGCCTTCCTGAGCTCTTCCCACTGGTTTCGGGGAGCGGTCTGCAGTACAAGATGCTCTGTAGCCCTGGAAACATGGTGCTCCTCCTGCAGGCAGAGCTCTCGGTAAACAAACCGTTGCTGGCATGGCAGCACCTGGAAACGGGTCCATCGGGAAGCCGGCATCGCACCAGCTTCATCTGCGGCATTTTAAACATTCAGTCCCTTGCCCTGATCCAGACTTGAGTGATATAATCAGCTGGAAAGCTCTATTTCTAGCTGCTGATGAACAGCAGGAGAAGGGGCTGCAAGACGACAAGTTAATCAGTCCTCTAAAGTGTGTTTATCTAGCGAGCTGTGCCAGCTGCTGCGACACGCAAGGACACACCAGGCCATAGGAGCTTTTGCATGAATTTTCAGCCGTAGTCCTGCTGGGTTTATTTTAACTCTTTTGATTCTCCTAGAAGAGGCTTGGGGCTGAAATCTCTCTCTGATGCTTTGCTTTGTTGTTTTACTTCTCTTATCACGTGCATCTCTGTTATTTAATCTCCCTGTTTAGGCGACACCAACTGTGCTTGGTTAAGATGAGTGTCCTGACACAAACAAAGCGCATTTCCCACCGCCAAACAGGCACTTTCAGACGCTTCCTTGGCCCCTTGCTAGGTCTGGGGAGGAAAGAGGGGAACCTCCCGCTCGCTGTGTGTCCGGCATGGGGGCCGTGTCCTGCCAGGCACCCCAGCGCTGAGGGCAGCTCTGCGTCTCTGCAGGGTTACTGCCATCAGCAGAGTAACCTTAGTGCGAGCGAGAAGGAAATCTTAGCTGCTGCGAATTATTCTGCATAATGGACCAAATATTTTGTTGTGTTTTACCCCAATGGCTCCACTGTCAAAGGCATTAGTCTGGATATGCCCTGGAGCAGTGGAGAATCTGGCTCCATTTTTGCTGTAGTTTTGCAGTGTGATTTACATCTCATGAGAGAACAGGACGGGCTTGTCATACAGACTTGAATTCTGAGTCAGCTCCAGTATCTGAGCCATCAATTTAAAGTGAGAACAAAAGCAGGGGGACAGATGACCTTTTAAAATCATTTTTCAGCTTCATTTAGGCCTTTCATTCCAGCCGTCCTCCTGCTGCAGCCCCTTCCCGCAGCCCCCACAGCTCGTTATTGCCTTCCCTGCGCACACGTGTGCATCACGGACCCCGCACACGTCTGAAGTGACACTGCGCAGGGGGGCACAGGAAAGTGAAATCTCTGCGGGGGTCTGCAGTGCCGTGTGTGAGGCAGCTCCGTGGGTTTGCCGTTGCGGGCTGCAGGGCCTCCGTTCAGTGTCACTCTGGCCCTGGCGTCTGACATTTCGGTGCCTGCAATGAGAGAGCTGCCCTGAGCAGCAGCTGAGGAGTGCATGTGTCTGTGCTTTTTACCTGGGAATAAGTGATTTTCCAGCACAGGAGGATGAAGCACAGGCTTGGCAGCCCCACAGCCCGGGACCAGGCACCGGCCATGTCCCCATGCTGGAGAAGCCTGAAGGAGCGAGGGCATTTCTGCTGCGCTCCTCCCCTCGCCGGGCCGTGGCGCATGATGTCCCCCGCCAAAACCCGGCCATGGTGCTGTGGTGATCTGGCGTTGGCGAGGGATGGATTTTGAGGCACTGCCAGTCTGGACTGGGTGTGAAGCTGGTGATGTGGTAGGAAGGTTCCTCGTGGTGTGATGGTCTGTGCATCGCGGTGCCATTTTGGTGCTCACTCTCTTGGGTTACAGCATGATCTGACTCTACTGTTGTAGTGAAGTTAATCTTATCATGGGCCCTGATGTGTCTTCTTGCCTCGTCCTCGAGGACGCTCAGCATGCACCCAGCTAACCTCTCTTTTTTTGGTCTGGTTTTGTACCTAACAGAAGAAAATTGACTGTCCACGAATCGTACCTGTCATGCTGGAGCCAATGCCCACGGGAGTGTCTCGGGACATCACGATCTTGCTGGCGAACGCGACTTTCTCCAAGGTAAATGGGTTCCTGGGGAGATGGGGAGGTTCAGTTGAGCCCAGGCTGGTGTGCAGTGAGGTGGACAGGGCAGCCAAGGGATCGTACGGACAAGCTGGTGTCTGCCTCAGAGTGGGTGGTGGGACTGGTCCCAGTTTGTGTTAGCAGCTGTAACCGCTGTGTCAACAAGCCACTGGGGGAAAGCAGCCTCCTCGATGCTGAGCGGGGTTCATTGCAAAGCTGAAGGGGGATGCTTCATATGTCCAGGTGTTCCCCAGGGATCTCCTGCAGTTAGTGACGGGCTTTTGTGTTTGGTGGGAAAAGGAGGTTTATACACCTTGTAAAAGAGTCACTAACAAAATGTTTGGGGGAAGTAAAATTCCCGTTCTCCCTGTGGGTGTTTGCTGGACCACCGCATGTGCCGGTGTCATGCTGTCCCGGTGCTAAGTGCCAGCCCAGCCCCACTGGCCTGCACTCAGAAATGAGGGACAGGCCCCGTGGTGTGGGCAGAGAGCCCTGTGCTGGCTGAGCCATTGCTCGGAGCACAGCGTGGAAATGTGGTTTAACTTAACTTCTGGTTGTCACTGTGGAGCAGTATTTTTTTGTGGAAAAAAAAAAATCCTTTATGTGAAATTTTCTGGCTTGCAAATTGTAATAGGGCCAAAAGCAGGAGTGGACATGAAGTGGTGCATTCGGAGATGTGTCCCACGCCAGGAGGAACCAGAGAAATTTGAGGCAGGGAGGTTGGGCACTGGTAAAGTGACTCAGTGCCGGTATTTGTCAAAAGCCACCCTGTGTCACTCTGGGTCACATCTTCAGCAGGGCTGTGGGGCCAGTTTGCGGAGGACACTGGTGCGGTAGAGAGCCCCCAGCCCCTCTCTCTGCAGGGAAGTAGAGGATGGAAGTGCTGGTGGAGCTGCCCAGCGCAGGGCTGTGCAGGCACCGTTCTAGACCTCACCCTTGACGTGGGCCGGGAACCGGCTCTGGCCCCCAGCTGGGGCTGTGCTTCCTGCACGGGTCTGGGCTCTGTGAAGGAGGATGTGCCTTCTGCAATCAGCAAAATAAGGCGAGAAATCCTCCTTCCTCTGAGGATGCTGAGGTGGCTGCAGAGGAAGCGATGGTGCAGGCGGCCTGGTCGGAAATGCAGTCGGCAGGAAAGGGGCCGAGGCACTGGGGTGGCTGGGGGCTCTGCAGTCCTGCTTCTTCCCGCTACATGTGCAGGCGCGATCCCGACTCCTTCCTCCCTGTGGGAGCTCATGAGCCTCGACAGAGCTCGGGGCATGGGAGACGCATGCCCTGACACCTCTGCTGCTGTGAGGGGCTGCCCAGGTAGGGGGCAAGGGGCTGGGGGCTGCCTGTGGAGCAGGACCTGCCCGGGCACAAGCAATGTGTGGGAGGAGGTGCCAGGTTCCCCTTTGCCTGTGTGTTCGCTGAGCCAGCAGCTGCCTGCCAGGAGCCTGGAGCTTCCTTTCATGTCTTTTATCAGATCCGTCAGGTTTCAAAGGGGAGTTAGACCTCAGTAGTGGTGGAGCATCAACCTGCTTGGAGATAGGATTTTTTCCTGCGGGATGGGGGCACAGCAGTAACTCGGGGGAGGATATCATCCTTGTGTTATCAGGAAAACAGCAAAGAAAATCTGCCTCTGAACGTACTCTCAGCTGGGTCCTCATTTGAATTAGAGATTTGCTCTGTGCAGTTGTTGGGAGGAGAAGGAAGGTGGCTTTGAGCCCAAATCACGGGCTGGTTTGGGCTGGATTGGGCGAGGTGGCTTGGTACCACCTTGGCTCTTGGTCTGCATTGCAGCATGAGCTCCAGACACCCCTGGTCCAGAGGAGCCCAAGTACCCACAGTGGGGGTTACCAGAGCATAACCTGCACATCTCCTGCTCCTCTGTGCCGTGGGTCAGACACATCTGCTCCGCATGTGTCATGGATCAGATGTGTCTCCTGGTCTACGTGTGCTCTGGGTCAGACTTGTCTCCTGCTCCTGTGTGCCGTGGGTCAGACACATCTCCTGGTCTACTTGTGCCACGTGTCCCCAGCTCCGTGACCGGCTGCCCTGTGCCCGGTTGTGGTGCTTGACAGCAGACGCTGGGCGAGAGCAAGGAACAGGGCTTGGCTCCAGGAGCGATGCTCAGCCTGCAGCCATTGTATGTGTGGGTGTGTAATGGCACAGGATGAATTGGGCACAGACCCCGGCCCCGCCTACAGTATTAGGCCCTGATCTCCCAGTGGACTTGAAGCACAGCTTGGGTATTGATGGCAGAAGCAGGGTTGGACGTGGCACCTGCCACACCGGCTGAGATGGAGCATGGCACAAAGTGGATGCTGCAGCCGTTCAGCCCTTGTCTTCCCCCAGGAGACAGCTCTGGAGTGCCACTTTGGGACGGACAGGACCTTTGAAGCCCGCTGGGTGAACACCTCTACCGTGGAGTGTCTTCACGTGCTGGTGAGGCTCCGCGTGCGCTGGTGTGGGGGGGTGGTCAGTCCGAGTCTGCTCCGGGGGTGTCTGCAGCAGCTCCTGCTCTGCAGAGGTTCAGGCAGGAGCTGCCTGTTTGTCTTTCTGGAAGGGGAGAGTTCAGGCAAAAAATTTGGCCACCTTTCAGTGTTGCTGTTTCTGTAGCTTTTACTCTGAACTAGGGATTGGCCTGAGAAAGTGCTCAGACACTCACCAAGGGCTGGGCTGTGGTTGTTGCAGGGCAGACCCCACCTCTGAAAGGCTTCAAATGTTTGGGCTCCCCTGATGGGAGCGTTGCAGGTGGACGCTGGACAGGAGCGCTTCCCGTCACGGAACCCGCAGTACTCAGTATATAGCCCAGCGCTGAAGATGCGCAGCCTGGCTGGTGTGTTAGCTTGCCCCATTTCCACTGAAACCAGCAGCAAGGCAGGGCTCTGCTCTCACTGGGCCGTGCCCCAGTGCCCTTCACTGGAACCTCAGCAAAGCAACTAAGACAGAAAACAGCCTTCCCCTTCCCTCTGCTAGAGACGAGAGCCTCCTGTGCTGGGAAGCAGTGGTCAGGGAAGCCTCTCGAGGGATGTTAATCCATGAAGTGTGCGTGTGGAACCTATATTTTACTGAATTTCCTAAGTTTTGTTTATTTTTTTTTGTGTGTGCAGCTCCACACATCAGAGAAAAGCCATCTCTTCCCAGTGAACCTTCAGCTGAAGGACAGACCAGACAGATTTATCGACAGTCCAGAGACGATGACAGGTCTGAGCTGAAAATATTTTTATTCTGCTCTCGTCCGGTCAGCTCGAAAGCCTCTCAAATCCTGGCCAAGTTTGTAGATCCAGGAGAGCCCATGGCTCGGTTGGGCACAGCTTTGTTCTTTGTCTCAGGTGCATGCAGAAAAACTGATTTACACAAAGCAGTGTCTTATGTGAACGTGTGCCCAGGACCCAGCCGGGTCCCACGGGCATCTCCTGCACCCCCTGCGAAAGCCAAGCCCCAGAGTCTGGGCTGGCAGCTTTCCTGCTGTGCCGAGAAAGAGCAAAATGTGTGGAGATGTTAACGGTGTCAGGTGCTGACCAGGGATAAAAAGGTTTCCTGCAGTAAATCCCGCTGCATGAAGGAGGCTTATCTCACAAAGCACTTTGTGCTGGTGAAATAACCTTGAAATGCCAGCACAGGCAGGAATGAGACACGGCTGCCTTGCAGGAAGCAGAGAGTGTTTTTGGACTGCAGGGGTAACCCTGAGGCGAGGGGCGGGAGGTCTGGGCTAAAGCTGTTTTGATGTGTGAAGGAAGACCCCAGACTCCCAGCGTGGGTGGTGCCAGAGTGGGAATGGGAACGTGGTGGGATCCCCCTCCCACGTGGGGCAGGGGCTCCCTGACGCAAACTGTGTGTGCACCAGTCTGAATTCACCAGAACATTTGGGGATCCTTTGGGACCGTTGAACTGCACTGGCTCCTCCTCGCCTTCACCAGATTGGTGCGAGGAAAATCAGGGAGCAGGCAGAGACAGAGATCTGCTGGGCCAATTAGAAATGTGTGCATCTTTAATGGAAGTACCGTTATTAGCGGTTTTTGTTTCAGTATTTATTAGCTTTTATTGTAAGCTGCGTTTTGGCAATGCACTGAAGGAATCCCGGCTCTTTGCTGTCGGGTGGAAAGCCGAGCAGTGCAACGTGCTGGATGATCACAGGGCAAGGTGCAATAAACCCATCTTTTGTGAAGAGGTGGAGGCTCCCTGGTGCTGTTCATTCCCACAAGTGCAGGCAGGTTGCTGAGGGCCAAGGGGTTCATTAAAGGTTTATGAAGCGCCTCGAGACCCTCCGGCAGACAGAGGTCCAAAATGTGACTGCTCCTTTGTTTTATGTTCTCTTGCAACGTCTCCTCTGGGAAGAGGGTGTGAAAGCAGTGTTTCCTGAGTGTTTCTGGCTGTTTATCTAGGCGGATACCCACACTCCGGCTTTGGGCTGGGGAGGAAACGTAACCAGGGACAGCCGCTAATGAAGAGGGGAGAGCGGTGCAGAAAAGCGCTGTGGATGCTGAGCTGAGCAGATCTGAAGGGAGAAGTCAATGAGAGGGGCCTTGGTCAGTGGGGGAAGGAAAGGAGGTGAAAGCTGTGCGAGGCGCTGCAGCCCTCTGATTTTGTGGGAGTGTGGAAGTGCTGTGATTGCTTTGCTAACAGGATGGAGCCGGCTTTGCCAAGCAGCTTCCCGTGTGGATGCTGAGAGTTGGAAACACGCAGCATAAATTGACAAAGGGCCCTGAGTTTGGGTGTTGTTTGTTTTTCAAGGGGAAGAAAAAGGAAAAGAAAGTGCTAAATTATATTGCAGTGAGAACAAGCACCCAGCCCTTCTGGGAAATCTTCAGGATGGCAGCCAAGCGCTGCCTCCTCTTGCTGTATGTGCCAGTTGCTTTGCTTTTCCTCTGGATTTTGGATGTTCCTTGGGTTGATGTAGCGGGGAGTGGGAGTTGGGGGTGTTCAGCTGCCCCAAAATAAGCAAAGTTATGAAATTCTCAGGCCCAGGAGCTCACATTTTCTGTTTCTCCGGTGTTTTAGTGGAGGTGTACAACTGTGCGACGGGGAGCACCGACTGCTCCCAGTGCCTGGGGAGAGAGGACCTGGGGCACCGGTGCATCTGGAGCGAGAGTGGCTCCAGCTGCAGGCTGCACTCTGAGCCCCAGCACGTGTCTGACGTTTGCCCCGCGCCAGAGGTCAAGAAGGTGAGACCCCGGTGCGGCGGGGAGGCACGAGGAACACGTGTGGTGTGGTGTGTGGTGTGGTGTGGTGTGGTGTGTGGTGTGGTGTGGTGTGTGGTGTGGTGTGGTGTGGTGTGGTGTGGTGGGCACTGCGGAGGAGTGAAACCAGCTGTGCTGTTCCCAGAACCGCAAGTTGTCCCTGGCGCAGGACGGGGTCAGGACCAGCACTGAATTATTCACTGCCTTGCTATGCTGTCGAGTCAGCTGGTGCCAAGGACATCTTGCTAGTGATGAGATCCGATCTTCATGGTGTTAGTGGGAAAAACAACACCAGCACAGTCAAAATGTCTCAGATGGGGTTGGTAAAAGCGAGAAAGCTTTGTGGGGTCGGCTGCAGGATTCTTATCAGGAATAGCGTTTAATGGAGCATGGCTGAAATGCAAACGCGAGCCCTATCTCCAGGCACATGTGCTCTGCAGCTTTGCTGAGATGAGGAGTGGCAGAGGGACCTTTTGGCATTATGCATCTTGAAATGAGTTTTATTTAAATTGTAGTCGAGTGAATATGTGTTGGGGGCATTTGGATCTGGGGTTCTGCTTGCATTATGAGCCTACAAATTTGTTCCTGACATGTGGCAAAGAAATTATATAGAGCACAGCTTAAAATGAGCTCCCTAGGAAGGGAGAAGCTTAAGAGGCAAAACAGCAAATGTGGATATCAGCATGGGCAAGGGTAGGGATTTCTGTCCTTAGGGTGGTGTGTGGCAATGGCTGCTCAAAACCCAGGTGCTGTAACACGGCATGGACAGACTGCGGGACCCCCATTGCCTGCCTCCTCCCTCATCCCTGAGGCCCCTGAACCTGTCCTTCCACACACATCGAGTGTTATCAGCACCTCACTGGAAAATAATGGAAGGAAACCACGGTGCAGGTCGCAGAGCACCACAGGGCTCTGTCATTATTTCCTTAGCAAAGAGTAGCTGGAAAATCCAAATCCTCTGGAGTAAAGCAAGCAAACAAGCCCTCGCAAAGCCCTCCTGGAGCAGGGGCAATGCAGCAGGACACTTTCTGTCTTGTTTTTGTCCTGAAGGGCTCCGCTGTGTTGGGGTGGTTCAGCCTGGAGAGGAGAAGGCTGTGGGGAGACCTTAAAGCACCTTCCAGTACCAACTACAGGAAAGCTGGGGAGGGACTTTTTACAAGGGTTGGAGTGATGGGATGAGGAGTGATGGCTTTAAACTGGAAGGGGGGAGATTTAGATGAGACATTGGGAAGAAATTCTTCATTATGAGGGTGCTGAGGCCCTGGCCCAGAGAAGCTGTGGGTGCCCC